CAAGTAATCATTTTATTTTACAGGCCAAAATTGTTAAAATCAATTACAGCAAGTCCAATTGATGAAGAGCCCGTTGACCCAATAAATGAAACTGAACCAAAGTGGGAGCCCAAGAATTGTGGCCCGTTTGAGGAAACCCTAGATCCATTAGGGTTTCCTTTCACCATCTCTATGCGCAGCTGAGCCCTCACCGTTGGATCTGAATTCACAATCCAACGGCTCACAGCTCTCCGTGAATACCGAGCCATCGTGCAGATCAACCGGGAGGAACTCCCAGAACTATCGACCACCCCCGTGACCAGCTTGCGCCCGTGACCTGCAAACGCACCAAACAAGAAGCAGAGCAGAAGGCATAGAAAAAAAGAGAAAATATCTACTAGAAATAACCAGAAAGAAAACGGCTGGAAGGAGAGGATTTGAAGAGGGGAAAGCAGAAAACACGCATCAGGGAGAGAACCCGAGAGTGGACCATTACGAATCAGATACGAAACCAAAAATAACAAAAAGAGAAACCAACCATTTTAGCCATCAACGCAACGAAAAAAAGGGAAATATCCAGAAGATCATTCATCAACAACCAGAGAACAAAACGAAAGCGAAAGAGACTTACCCTTCCGATCCAGTAGCTTACGTCACTAGGAATCCATACCCCGTCTGTGAGAAGATAAAACCTTTCGCCTCCCGTTGATTTCGAGTCATGCATGTCGGTTTTAAGTCTCGGGCTTTAGGGATTTGAAGGGTTCAGTACATGTTTGGTCATAGTTCAACCGGGTAACGAGGCTCGGGTTCGTTTGGTTAGCAGCGGGTTTTGAGAGCTATGTCTCGGGTTAAGGTTCGGTTTTAGGTAGAGGTCTGCTTCGAGTTATCGTCGGGGCTTGTGTGGCTCCCCATCGGAGCCGTTGAACGACGGAGGCCGCGGTGGCCTTCTGTCTCGTTTAGGGTTGAGAGACGGGAGAGCAGAGAGGATATGGGAGAGGCAGAGAACGGCGAGGGGATGTATCTTCTGGATGGAGAGGGAAATGAGTTTAGGTTAGGAAATTTACCCTGATTTCCACTATATTAATACGTCAAAACGACGTAGCTTTGGGTAGTGTTGAAACGACGGCGTTTTGTTATCGTGGGAAAAATATCTCGTGTTTTGAGGGAGGGGTTAATCTCGTTCAGGGCCCATAGAGGTTAAGTCCATTCCGATTTGGTCCCAAAGTGACTTTGCTGTTTTCTGATTTTGGCCTTAAATTTCCAGCGGTTTACACGTTCGTCCCGAATCCTGCTAGGCCGATTTTATTGTTGTTTTTACATTGGATGCATAGTTTTAGAAACTTGCATTTTGATCCTATGTAATATTTTGGTTATATCATGTTTGGACTGTCCAGAAATGAAAATGTTATGAAAAGATCCTGTGATTTAGTTTCTTTGTATTTTAGTCCTATGTTTTGTTGTATTTAAATCTTTGTTGTCTTAAACATTTGACATCCACCTTTTTGTATGTTGCATTTTAGTCTTGAGCGTGTTTTGTTTTATTTTGTTTTTAGTCCCTTGTAATGAGAATTGTTCCATTTCAGTTCTTAGTATTCAGTACGGTATAATGCTAGCATTTCTACCTTAATTTGTATTTTATTCATAAGTAGTATATTAAAGTTTAATTTAAATATAATTATTTTCTGAAATTTTATAATTTGTTATGCTATGTTTTCGTTGGTTGTGTTTAGGCCATCTTTGTTCATTAAGTATAGCTATGTATAGAGTATATATATATATATATATATTTTAAATATGTATGTGATCTTTATTGAAATATCACATTCCGAGCATGTTGTTAGTGTTTGTATATTTAGGTGTAGTTTTTATGCATGTTTAGCCTCATGTGCATGACTCGATCTAATCACATAATCGGAATTAAGGGTAATGCCCTTTTAATCTAAAATTATCAGAATGGCTTTCCTTAACTTACAGGAAAGTTGTTTTGACGATTTTAAATTAAAATGGTATCCCGTCAGTAACGTCTAATTAAATTTGGATATATCACTGTAAAATTTGGGAGCGAAAGAAAAGGAAATATTCGACTATTTAAACTTTTCGAGAAAAGGTCGTTAGAACTGAACTAAAGATCTGGTCTCGATATTTTTAAATAATCGAATATTCTTTATCTTTCTAACGACTTGGTAATTTTAAATTAAATCTATTTTGTTGCTTTGAATGTTGCAAATTTGCATGTTTGTCGTTTAAAGGGATCATTAATCAAATCAAATTTGAACTTGTGAAATTCGGTGCAAAGAAATTAATTAATCGACTAGGTACCGATTTAGGGCGTTGTGGGGGTGCTAATCCTTCCCCACGCGTAACCGACTCCCGAACTTGGATTTTGGTAACGTAGACCGTAAATTTGTCGTTTTAATTAAAATTAATTTTTATTTAAAATGACAATGTTTTTTGGGTGCCCAATCACACCCTAATCAAATATTGGTGGCGACTCCTCGAACCTTATATTTTTATCGTAAAGGAATTTCTAATTTTTCGCAACGAGAGGTTTTCTAAAATCGCATTGTTTTTAATTAAAATTCAATCGTAAAGAGAACAATTAAAAATGACGCGGTTTTCCAAAATCTCGCTCCCCCACTCGTTTAAAAATCGTTTCGACAAAGTGAATAAGTATATATTTTAAAATTTAATTTTTACTTAATTATATGTTTTATTAATTGTACTCACCCTAAAATTTTTGTATAATAATTTCTTCATGTAAAATTTTTATATTAGTAATATTATGTGTTCATCCCAAAAATATTTTTAGATGTCGTTGACTAATACATCGACAATTCAAATTTAAAATTTCTAAAAAAAAATTAAAATAAAAAAGTTGTCACTCAAATTTTAAAAGATTACTTTTAATTTAATATAAATCAAAATAAAATGACACCATTTGTTATTAATATTTGTTTGATAGGATACTATTTTATATATTTAAAATATTAAATTTAAATTAAATTTTATATCTGGCATACACTTTTTATATATGGGTAAACTACACCATTTATCATTCCATCATCTTTTCACTCTTAATTTGGTCATAAAAGTTTAAAAAGTTAATTTAATCACTGAATTTTGAATTATTAATGTTTTGGTCACTCTGTCGTTAAATAATTAACGGCGTTCTGACATGACAATTTACTTCAAAACAACATAGTTTTGGATCCCTATAGAAAATCAAATTTAGATCAAAACAACATCATTTTGGTATAAATAAAAAGTTATTTTCCTTTTTCTTTTATTTTCTCCTCTTTCCTTCTTTCTTCTTATTTATCTTCTTTTCTCTTTTTTTCTTTCCTCAACCTAAGAACCTAGATTCCAATTAACATAACAGCCGTCATTTTAACCAGTGTCGGTCACCATCGTCGAAGGCTGATGACTCCCAAAATTTCTCATCGAACTCATCTAACCATTCTAAACGTGAATATGGTGTCCGTTTAATCATGAAATACCCTAAACTCCATAGATCTAACATTGATACCATCATCGTTGTATGTCACCATGCTTTTATGGTCAACATTCGTGTTGATATAGATACTAAATGAACGCTTTTTTTCTCCATTTTCTATCCTCAATTCAGATCTCGAATAAACCAAACTAAAAGCCACAATAACTCGAATCAAAACTCAAACCAAAAAGAAATAGAAATTTAAAAAAGAAAGGACACTTCTCTGATTCCAATTGTTTCTTCATCGTGATTCTTTTTATCCTTTTCGTGCTGGTTCCCCATCTTCATCTCATCGGTTATCTGCCCTCACCAAGGCTGCATTCAACAAAAATTTCGTTGAGAACAAAGAGTGAACTTTGGACACGATAAATATCTTTTAGATTCTGTTTTAGAGGAACGAGAACGGGAAAATAAGTGATAACAATGGGAAATTAAAAAAATATTAAAAATACTATTAAAAATATTAATTAATGTCTACATGGAAGTTCAAAATAAAAAAAATTGCATTTCAACCCAAAGAAAGAAAATAATAGAGTGATAAAAAAAAATTAATGTTCAAAGTTGAGTGACGTAATTGAAAATTTTAAAATTTCGGTGACTAAAATGAGAGTGACAATATAATTAAATGATGAATGGTATAATTTACTCTTCTTAACTTTAATAAGAAATGGTGGGTTAATAACAAATTTTATAAAACATTGATTATAAAATTTCAAGTACGATCTTAGCCATTGTGTTAATTTTTTTCTTCAAAATTCCAGTAATAAGAAATGTTCAAATTTTTGTTCTTCATCATAGCTTGGCCACGTTTAGTTTTTATTTTTATAATTAATGCAAAGAAATTGTGAAAGGCCTTTCTGCCCTTACCAACTATTGCTATTGATTAATATATACAATGATTGGCTAGAGTATTTTGGTCATTTGAACGTGTAGAAGGATGGTGGTAGTTTGGATCATTGAAATGACTGTGTACTGACCTTAACTTTATTTTATTTGGTAGTTTGCGTTGGTTTCCAAAGGACGTCTTTTTTTAAATGACAGTAATTTTATTAATTATTCAAAATTAATTTCCATCTATTAAAAAATAAAAAAAATATTTTTTTATTTGTTTTCTCCATGGACCATGAAACAAACAATAATTTATTTCTATATATTTTTTTTAGAAAATTCCAACTTGTGCGGGATGATTTTAAACCAGAATATAAAACTCAAATCTAAAATTTCTAGATAGGGTTATCTTGGTAATTTAATAAATAATAAATTACAACGCAAGTCTTTGGTTTTTGTTTTTCTATTATCTGATAGTTAAAAATAGAAAAAAATTAAGATAAAATTATAAAATTAAATATTTTTCACATATATTTTATAAAATTTTCACATCATAGTTTAATTAATTAAATTACGAAGTGTATTCCTTGATGTTCTCATCCCATTTTGTTTTTTTATATATAATTATTTTGCTTCATAATTCAGCTTTTGATTAGGAAAACTAAATAAGAGAAGGGGTGACTGCTGCAAAAGGAGAGAAAGAGAGGAGAGACAGAGAGGGAAAGCACAGAAATATACTGAGAAAAAGAGAAAGGAAAAGAAAGAGGGAATTGAAGAAGCTTTCAATTACACCATAGAAGAGACAACGATGTCTAAAGGCTTTACAGGCTTTCATTCTCTGCAACTCTTAGCAAGGTCTGCGGTCTTCTGCCTACAAACATACTCTCTCTCACACACAGATTGCTTAATATTTTTTACATGTACCCAGAGCTGAAAATGATAAAAAGGGTTACAACAAATTCGAAAAGATTAATGAACAAAAACCCATTTCCTTAACTTTACTTTTTCCTTCACTTAACTGAGAGAATTCCGATCTTCTTTTTGGTCGTCTTTCTTTTTATGATGAATAATAGCACTGCTTTTCAAGATGGGTATTGTTTTGATTTTTTTTTTTTAATTTGTGAGTTAACTTATGGATCCGTTTTATAGCAGGGAAAAAGGTGAGAGAAGGGTGTTGCTTCAGAGATCATGAAGAAGAAGGTATTGGTATGTGAGTAGCGATTGTTTCTCTAAGGCTAGCCATTAAATTCCAATTCAAGAGTAGTAAAAATTCTACGAAATTCTATGTCCCAAGATTACCACCACCAAGCAGCTGGCATCTTCGGCTTCTCTAATGGCTTCGAGAGATCAGCGGCCATTAGCCACCAAGAGCAGCAGCAGCAGCAACTTGACTTGGCACAACAGATCCGGAGAGATAAACTGAGAGTTCAAGACTTTGAGCCACCACCTCAGCCATTAGTAGGGATCGAAGAGGAAGAATCAAATGCTCTTCCTGTATACGAAACACCGGGCATGTTATCATCGGAAATGTTCTATTTCCCATCGGGCGTGGCTGCCACCGCCTCCTCGTCTGAGTTATTAGACCAGCCTCTACAGGCTAATTTTCGAGGACAAAGGCCACCGGCTAATACCAACGAGTGGTACAGCAACAGGCAAGGTGTTGTTGTTGGGGGTTTGGGACAGTTAGGTGAATCGAAAAGCCACAATAACCGTGACAGTTTATCTCAACAGCAGTTACCACCAAGCATGAATGCCGACTCGGCAGCTTCCATGCATCTTTTCCTGATGAATCCACAGCCAAGGTCACCATCTCCTCCTCCTCCATCAACTTCTCTTCAAGGGTTTAATGTATCAGGTCCTGGAGGGAATTTTCCACCTCAGTACACCTGGGTTCCCGATAGTTCCCATGAAGGAGGTAACCCAAGTGAAATCGGAGGTACAGTTGTAGAAGGACAAGGCCTTTCACTATCTTTATCATCTTTGCAACACTTGGAAGCCGCCAAAGCCGAAGAATTGAGGATGGGAGATGTCGGGTTACTGTACTATAACCAAGGAGGCCCTTCTGCTACTGCTACCCCTCAGTTTCAGTACAAGCATTTGGGTAGCCATCATCATCATCAGCCACTGCATTTGCAAGTTGGTGTAGGACAAAACCACCAGGTTCATGGTGGGTACGGCTCCTCGTTAGGAATGGTCAATGTGTTGAGGAATTCAAAGTACGTTAAAGCCGCTCAAGAATTGTTAGAAGAATTCTGTAGCGTGGGAAGAGGCCAGTTGAAGAAGAAAACTCTCGGCAGAAACAACACAAATCCTAGTTCTAATCCGGGTAGTATCGGCGACGACGGTTCTTCATCAAAAAAGGATCTCCCTCCTTTATCAGCTGCTGATAGAATTGAACATCAAAGACGGAAGGTCAAACTTTTATCCATGCTTGATGAGGCATGTAATCTAATCTCTTTTCTTCTCTATCTTTCAAGAGTCAATGACCCAATAATCTTTCTTTAAGCAATTATTTTTTCAAATAAAGAAAACCCAGATAGAGCAAAGCCGGCTGGTGCAGTCTGCTACTCAATAGGATCTAGTTGGTACAGTTTGATTAAGCCTTTCTCACTTTGATTTTTCTATTAAAAAAATCTGGGGCTATACTTTGGTGACTATTATGCTGGTGCGACGTTCCTTCTGATACTGAAGTTGACTATTAACCTACCATATTACATACGAAACTAATTATTAAGCAATTGCAAATAATAATATTGCAATGAAAGCCATTGAATATATTATAACTCGGTTGACTCAGTCTCATTTTCGCTTTCTTTTTTCTATATTTGTTTCTGTTTAGGCACCCAAGCTATAATGGGAGAAAGAAAGTGTAGGATATTCTTTGTTCTTTCTTTCACCCTATAGCAATCTTTGATTTATGCATTTATTCTTTTGGGGGTTTCCTTAAACAGCAACTAAGTTATGTCAAAATGATTTTTTGGGCGTTGTAAAATTCTCAAATTGGAACTTGCCGTTCTCTTCTCCTCCAATGTCATGTCATTTTTGTTACTATTTCATCGTGAACTGTGATTAACAAAAATGTAAAAATAAAATGATCTGGTTTGAGCAGGTGGACCGGAGGTACAACTATTACTGTGAACAAATGCAAATGGTGGTGAACTCATTTGATCTAGTGATGGGGTTTGGTGCAGCGGTGCCTTACACAGCCCTGGCTCAGAAGGCAATGTCGAGGCATTTTAGGTGCTTGAAAGATGCCATATCCGGACAACTGAAGCATAGCTGTGAGGTGTTGGGTGAAAAAGATGGAACATCCGGCATAACCAAAGGAGAGACACCGAGGCTAAGGATGTTGGAACACAGCTTAAGACAACAAAGAGCGATCCATCAAATGGGTATGATGGAGCATGAAGCTTGGAGACCCCAAAGGGGACTGCCTGAAAGATCTGTCAACATTTTGAGGGCCTGGCTTTTCGAACATTTTCTCCACCCGTACGTTTACGTTTACCTATATTATCTGACACTGCCCTAGCAATAGAATCTGCATCTTTCTTAATTCAGTGAATATTAAATACATTTAGCAAAAGGAAGCTGACAGGTTGAAAAACAGGCTATCATATTAATAAGTGTATGACATAATGACATTTTATTAGCCTCACAAAATTCAAGTTCTGGTTTCCTACTTTGTCATACTTTCTGGTTTGTGTTCAGAGAATACAGTAATGCAGTGTCCTTGGGATTCATGTCTCGTCAGCCATAAAGCTGTTAAAAACATTCATTTTCTTTCGTTATTTAAAAAGAACTTTATTAAAGCGTCTTATCACGGATGACACGCCTGCTTAACCCTTTTTTTTCACTGTCTAATATTTTCTTTTCTTTTCCTTTTTGTTGTTAATGAAGAACTAGTATATGCATGTAAATAATAATGAGAGAGATGTTGAAAGTTTCTGTCGTCCTCTATACTTCTGCAAAAACTGCTGATGCTGCTGTGTGATGATCTTTCTTTCTATTAGATTCTCACGCCCATGCATGGTAAATAAAGAAAGGTTCAATTGCATCTATGGCGGTACATAAAGATTGGTGTCACTTTACACGGTTTTAGGCAATGACTCTGATGTCATTTTCTGGTCTCTTTCCCAGGTACCCAAGCGATGCAGATAAGCATCTGTTGGCTCGACAGACAGGTTTATCGAGAAATCAGGTTGGTCTTCTCTCTCACTTTCACGACACATTATTAAACAAACCACACACATATTTGTTAAAAAAAAGAAAGAAAGAAAGAAAAACTACATTTATAAGAAAATGAGGAAAAAAATAAACAAACCCTTATGAATGATTAATGAACCATCAGTAAGTTCAGAAGAACTTGCATGGATTTGGGTTTTATTTCTCGTGTTTTTCTAGGAGAAAAAAGGATAGTTTTATATTGTTCCAGTTAGAAAATAATTTAAAAAATACGTTACTTATGATTCTTAATTCGAAGGACATACATTATGATTTCTGGAAGGAAAACCATAAATACTGAATGGGGAAGAAACATAGCAGATAATATTTAAAAGGCAAAGACAAAGTACAGAAATAGATGAGACATGAAAGTTTGTCGCTCTCTCTCTCTGTGTGCTTTTCTCTCTCACATCAAAAAATCAGTATGACACCCTCCAACCACATCATAAACTTCATAAATACACCATATATATATATATATATTACGTCATATACAATTTGAAGAGTTTGTTCATAGTTAATACTACTAATAACTAGAATCTAATAAGATGGTTGAGTGTTAGGGGGGGTAATTCTTAGTAAGTTAGGCTATTTATTTTTGCAGTATTTTAGTTTGCATGGAAAGACAAACACCTAATTCTAGTCCCACGTCTCTTTTAATTTGTAAGTCAGTAGTGATTGTAGGTCATAAATGGAGTCCTCCTCCTCTGATCATCACTGCTCTTTGGAGCTTTCTGTAAGGAATAGACATCATGGAGCAACATGTGAGTAAAGATATTATAATAGCTAGCTCAGAACAGTCTTAATTATTTACTTAATTGTTTCCTGGAGTCCCCTTTCTGTGTTTTGTTTTTGGACTGGTTCATAATGTACAACTTTAACATTCCATAATTTATAATATGCATGTTTTGCATGTAATGTGTATCAATCTTTTAAACATGGGAATTTAAATGCATGTGGTGTAATGTAATGAAAATGTATGCTTTTTATTTTTGCAGGTTTCAAATTGGTTCATAAATGCCAGGGTTCGGTTGTGGAAACCCATGGTGGAAGAGATGTATCAGCAAGAGTCTAATGAAGAAGAGGGAGATAATAAAGAAAGGAACCCCATGGACAGCAACAATATTTCACAGACATCAACGCCTTCGACAACCACTGCAGGCGAGGCTGGTGGCTCATCAACACCGCCACTTACGGCTTCAACAATGACGGTACCAGCAGGCAAAAGATCCGAAATCAATTCCATGGAAAACGACCCTTCTTCTCTCGTCGCAATCAGTAAACAATGCTTCTCGCAACACCAAGCCACCCACGTCACTGCAACGGAGGTGGCGCCACTTGTCTCCCAGCCTTTCGCCACCACAACCCATCATGACTCGGATATCCACCAAAGGTTTTTAGCTGGCGTTGATGACACATGCCATCGTGGCAGCAGCATTGTTGCAGCAGATTATGGGACCACCAACACTGGTAACGCTGAGATCGGTTCAACTCTCATAAGGTTCGGAAGCACGGCTGGTGATGTATCTCTCACTCTAGGTCTACGCCATGCTGGAAACATGCCCGATAAAGCTTCCTCTTTCTCGGTTACAGACTTTGGGGGCTGTTAATTTCAATCACATATTCCATAGTATTCTCTTGAAATAGAAAAAAAAAACACCATTAATCCCATTTTCATTTCTTCTTTGTTCCTTCAATTTTATTAAGAAACAAAAGCTGCATAACGATAAACGTAGCGTCAAGCTAGCTAGCTGTTGCATTTGGCGTTTTCATTTTAATTGTACAATAATTAATTTGCTTTTACTCATCTATCTAAACATAACATTTTGTTAGGTAAAAAGGACGATAGATTACCCTGTATGTTCTTCCAGTTTTGTTATTTTTACTATAACGACAAGCCTACAGTGACACTGATTGGCTGTTTATTAGCTACCTTATATATATAGATGAGCACATACAAAATACGCAAAACTTTTTGGATTATGTATTATTGAGAGAAGTGATAGCAACCAATCTGTGACTGAAAATAGGTGTCACATACAATCACGTGGTCGAACTGGAACCTAAGGATTACAATTGATGAGTATGAATTTAAGGCACGTCAATTTTGGTCACCTTGGTTAGGTATGTACATTGGGTTTATTAATGGTTTGATAATGTCAAATGTATTTTCATCTACCTATCATGCATTCTTCTTGAGTCTAGTTAGTGGGAGAATCTTTAACTTCTGAAAATAAAAATAAAAAATTTCATCACTGCGTTGGAAAAAAAAATCTGGGTCATATATAGTGCAAGAAAAATTAATTTTTTTAGTAGGGTCATGAAACACATGGTGAATTCTCGAAGTTGTCTGGAGTGCAAGACGTCTTCTTCATGTGCATGCACGATAGTCTGGATAGCTGGTGGCACTCCAAAAGTCGTCGGGTGATCCAAATGTCTTCCATAAATTATGTGATCTAGATGATTCTAACAAGTAGCGTAACAAATATCTTAGTTGAAAAAAATATATTTTTACTCCCTACGTGAACAATTCTTTAAGACATTATTAGAGTAATCTTGCCCATGAAATGAAACTATTATATGTTGACAAAGGATTTAAACCTCAAATTATCAAGTAATAGTGAAAAAAGAAGTACAAACGTCACCCTCAGCTTCCTTATAAATCTGGTGTGAGAAAAGGTTTTTATCTTCTCATAAATTAAGCCTTGAAAAAGGGTGCAAGGTGCACTTAAAGTAATCTTTGTTAACCTAAACTTGTACTCGAATTATTTTAGTGCCTGGCAGGCTACTACAAAAAGTGTGTTAAAAAGTATGATATGTGTCTCATCGTATATTTGGATTAGAACCGAAGAGTGGTGCATTTTCAATCAGCAAATAGTCAGGACTCCCAGGAGACATTGTCATTACATAATGATGCTTTGTTCGGTCGGTTGACTGAAGAAACGACAGTGACAGAGAAAACGAAAGAGTATAAAAAAAGTGACAGTAGCCATTGTTTTACCTAGAAAGAGATTGGGGTTCTAGCCATTGTTAATATACAGCTCTAAACCAACTTACAGTCTGTGTAATGCCCCCTACTAGTTAACCAGATTGGTAGGTTTTATTGTTGTTGCAGTATTTTCATGATTTTATGTACCATAGATCCCCAACATATTAGTATTGAATACACATCATATCAACGCTAACTAGTATGAAAAAAGTAACTACTAAATCTACCAAGTCAACTCACTTGCACAGCACCTGACTTACCATTTTCGATGATTGAGAGGGGAATCAGATGTGAGTCCCCACTTGTCTTATTGTCATCTTCTTTAATACTTCTTTATCCCATGTTTTGTAATCTCAACATGCGCCTCCCACCCAACACTAATAAAATTTAATATTATTTCAATATACTTTTAAATATTTAAAATATTCATATAGATAAATCATTATTTTAAACTAACTAATAGATTTTATATTTTGAAGAGGAAATATAAAAATTAAATAAAATATTGTATTTCTAAAGTATCCTTCTATAACGTCTAAATTTATATTAAAATTTCTCAATATGTGCAACATAAATATAAAATTATTTAAACATCGAAGCTTTTAAAATAATTTGACACAGTTATTGACTTAAAAACATAAAATATAAAATTATATATGTATGTATAATTAAATAAGTAAAAAAGGTATCAAAAAATTTAAAAATAAATAATTATTACTTAATTATAAAAAAGGACATAATGATTATATAATGATAAGAAAATTTTAATAAAAAATTAAAAAAAACATAATGATTACACTAAAATTGGTGAGTTTAATAGATTGTTTGATATATATTTAGACTCACTCATGAAAAAATGGTTGGGTTTTGGTTCCTTGGAACCCAAAACAACTAATATGCAAAGCAACAAGTACTCTTTACCTAATATGTTGCTTTTCCTTTGGGAAAGCAAATATAATCACACACCTCTACATTCGGATTCACCAAGTTGTTTGTTCTGCCGCAACCATCAGTTCCATTTTAATCCAAAATATGTATAATTTCATGGGTGAAAAATCAACATTGTTGGACAAAAAAGGATTTGAAATAAAAAATAAAAGGAGGGAAATGGGGTTCTGATATGATGTTCCAGCGGCAAAATCATTATGTCAAGCTGCACAATACAGAAAACCTTATCAGTCTCTCAAAACGTTTTACTGTCACAAACAAGTATAGCAAAGCAATGTCACTTTCAGCTATGTTTCCCATTTTCTTGAATCGAGGGAGCTAGAAAGAGAGAGAGAGAGAAACGCTACGAAACAAAGTATTTGATGAAAGAAAAAAAAACATGTATTAGTCAAGAATTGTTTGATTTATTGAATGTTTTTGAAGCAAACCTGTGAGAATTAACCCTGCAATGCACACCAGAAACAAGAACAGCAAAAGCTAGGCATTAACAATGTTTTCCCCCCCTTGATGTAAGAGCATTTAGCTGAGGTTGATTTAATTAATAATACATGAAAGAAATGGTTCAAAATGGACCCTTCAAAACAAGGGGACCAATACTTGAAAGAGAAATGTCATAAGAATCTATGATGATTCTTAAATGAGTGCTTTTTTTCATAGATGCTAAAATAAACTTTGAATTGCCCTATCATAATAAATTATCCGCATTGATTATTCCACTCATTTTGCCCATCAACCATGCATCCATGGGGTTAGGATGGAGTCATTAACTCTTCATAGGCTTAGGCTGCAATACTGTAACACTAGCCCATGTAGGGTTGTAGGCTAGCCTAGTTTGGTACCTATAAACTAGAGGGAGGGAGGTAAAATTATCTAAATAATAGCGTTTTTAATTATTTAGATAAATCAAATTAAATTAAAGAAATTACATTTAATTTTTGATACAAGGTGCCGTATAAAGTAAAGCTGTATACTTACATACGATGTGATTTTATCATTTATTTTGGTTTAATAATTAAATTTTAATTTTTAAGATCTTATTATATTTAATATTTAATATTTAGATTTAATTTAATTTAAATATTTTATTATTAAAAATTAACAGTAATATTACTATATTATTATAAAATAACATCACGTCACCATTAAAAATTTTAAAAATTGTACCATAAATCCCTAATTAATCAGGAAAGAGAAATTCAAAGAAGAAAAAATTCTTCCTACTCAATCTTCATCAGCAGTTGCTCATGCCACAACAAATACTATTGATGCCATCAGACCCATTAAGTCTAATATAATGTCTGTAAACATGAGTATTATCAGACGCCACGAATGTTATATGTGTATCGGTATTGATTGAAGAGTGCCCCTCCACTAGTATTACCTAATCCATTCCAATTACCGACATCCTATTCAACTATGTCATTTTTCAAAATTTCATCAATTTCATTGAGTGATAAGATTGTTAATCAAATACAGTCCTAGCTGTATTCTTCACAAATTATCATCTATCACCATATAATTCAAACACATCAATGAACTAATTTACTTCATCAGTACATGGTGATACTAGTGAAAATTGATTCACGTAGAGGTTATCTGTGAATTGATTTTTTTTTTGCTTTTATTATAAATACTAATCTTAATAATTATAATAAAAAAAGTCACATTTTTATTCAAATAACATAATTTTTCAAGTATTTATCTTACCAAAAGTTTATTAAAAAAATAATTATTTTATTACCAATTATTTCAATAGAAATTATGTAAACACTAATTAATTGAATGAATTAAAATTATGAAATATTTTTTTATTAAAACATTAGAAGAATAAAAATATTGATGACTTAAAATCATATCAATTAAAAAAATATTAAAAATATTAAATGATTAAATTTAATTATTTTTTGGAAGATATGTTTTGTTATTTGTGTTTTCTCATATAATCCAAATAAAAAATTATCTTTTATGTAGGACGTATCTTTACCTTATGTAATATCGTGTATCAGAAAACAATATTCTTTATATGTTTCACTCCATGCATGATGGGTTGTTTTCTTGTATGTTTCACTCCATGCATGTATAATGGTTGGAGGAGAAGATGGAGATTGCGAAGATCAAGAAAAGGGGATCACGAAAGAAGGGTTAGGGATTTCAGACTCGGAATTGTAGATTTTGGAAGGAAATGCAATTAAGAAAAATCACGTGGGAAGCACGGGAAGGATTAATGATAAGTGAAGAAAGAAACGGGTCGAAGCATCCAAGCCCAATCCTTTAGCCACCTGTATAGATAGTTAAGATGTTAGCCATCTGGAGAATCTAGTACAATTGTAGTTAAATAATACCATGTACCGAGGAAATCAATTTTACTTTACATTTTGAATGAATGAAGAAACTTTTTTCTGTAATCCTTTCTCTTGCTCTCTTTTCTCTCATTTTTTTCTCTTCTCTTAATCTCAAACCATCACAAATTGGTATCTAGAGCCATTAATCCTGACAAGAAACTTTGGGTATGCCAAGGAAAAATCAAACTATGACAGGATCCTCGGAAATTTCTGCACTTCAGAAACAAATCGAGGAACTCACAACATTAGTTAAGCAAGCATCAACTGAGTACAATCCTCCTAAATGGTGGGAAAGACAAAATGAAAGAATCACTACCTTGGAGAGTAGGTTGCACGCAAACCTGGTATTTTGAAATTAAAGCCTGATGAGATGCAAAACACCCAACACAATTTGGGATTAGAGAATCAAATGGGGGAACATAATAGCTGGAAACAAAATATTAGTGGATTTGAGGAAGAAGAAAAAAGTC